TTAGGAAAAAAAACAGCTAGAGTTTAGCTCCCATGTGTTGCTAAAACAGTGCTTGTGAAAGGAAAAGTTTGGATTTTGTTAGTGTAAAGCTTGTAAAATGTAATTTACAACCAGATAACTATTTTAATATTTGTTAGACTTGGGAGTTTATCACAGGAGGCTGGTAGTTGCAATTATAGCAACATAATTACATCTGTATCTGGTACTTATCACATTCACTCGTGTCTCTCCTATTTCTGCTTTGTATCTAAGTTGCTGGTGGACTGTATCCTTTCATTGATGGGAAAGCCCCATCAATCAGTTCCAAGATTACTGCTTCAGTAGAAGTGATCCTCCTCTCTTCTCCTCTACCCATTCCTCTCCTTCTCCCCTCACTGCTACTTAACAGCCCAGGACAACTTTTGGGAGAAAAATTATATGACTTATGGGTATGTTGAGGGTTATTCTGTGGAGAGGAGAAAACACCAGCATTCCCTCTGAGGGCCAACACCCATGGCTCCCACCATTTTCCTGCCCAGAAATCTAACAATGCTGGAAGCTGTGGTGTAGCAAAGAGGATCAGTGTTCTTTTAGGTTCTCCTAGGATGGATTAAGCTTTTACCTTTCACTACTCTACTAAGATAGTTCATTTTTGACAATAGTTAAGGTAGAGTACTTCCCGTGACTAATAGAGTAGTCAACCCAATTTTGAGGTACTGATTTTGATTAAAATTTCTAGACGTATACCTTAGTATGTACAGTAATGTGAAATTTAGAATCAGACCAATAGCTTGTGATCTCTTTAAGACTATGCCAGAATGTTAAAAAAGAGAATCAAGAACACATAAGATATCTGCAGTTCACTCATATAGTGATAAACTAAAGCAGGGGTCCTCAAACTAAGGCCTGGGGGCCAGATATGGCCCTCCAAGGTCATTTACCAGGCCCTCACTCAGGGTCAACCTAAGTCTGAAACTGCAAGTCGCTTCTGGTGTGGGAGAATTGGCCGTCTGCAATTACGTTGCCCAGGGGACGCCTGGATGATTTGATGTTTTTATCATCCTTGTGGGAGGCTTCTCTCATTCTCTGCAGCTGGAGTTGATAGAGGGAGCTCATCCGGCTCTCCCCAGATTTGCACCTGTGACCTGTCAGTCTTCAGTCCTGCCGGCACAGGGATTTAACCCACTGTGCCACCGGGAGCTCCGGTGACTTGAAATGACTTGAAAGCACACAACAACAACAACAAAAACAACAACAATCCTATCTCATCAGCCAAAAGCAGGCCCACACTTCCCATTGAAATACTAATAAGTTTATATTTGTTAAAATTGTTCTTCATTTTAATTATTGTATTGTTTTAAGTGGGTTTTTTTTTTTTGCATTACAGATAAGATATGTGCAGTGTGCATAGGAATTCATTCATGTTTTTTCAAATTATAATCCAGCCCTCCAATAGTTTGAGGAACTGTGACCTGGCCCTCTGTTTAAAAAGTTTGAGGACCCCTGAACTAAAGCTTGGGAAAATTACTTTTTTGTACAACTCCTAGAATCTCCCTGTTGGAAAAGTGTAAATCTTAAAGCATGAAAACATAGGCTGTGTCTGTTCTGGGTACCGGATCATATAAACATTGTTCAATTTGCTGAGATGAGCCATGCCCAGTTTGTCCAATCTAGCTTCAAGACCCTGTTTTCAAGTCTCTGGGATAACTAGTCTCAAATATCTAGGCTGGTGGAAGCTTTAGAAGAGAGATGCTACTACTTCCATATGCCAATCTGTCACACCAAACATCTCTTTATATGTCAAAGCCGTGCTACTTGGAATTACCTCTCCAAATAATTAAGATGGTAGAAAGTGTGGTGAAGAGACTAAAAAAAGAGAAGAGGAATGGGCAGCAGTAGCAGTAGAAGGTTATTTACAAGTGATCCCAAACAGAATTTAGACTGAACGGGAAAGAAGGGAGGGACAGTGCAAAAATTCAGAAAGTGAAAGGTAGAAAACTGGGAAATAAGTGGATTTTAAGAATAACAAAGAAACAGGAAAGAAGAAAGTAGAAGATCTCAGTGACAGCGCGAAATCAGACTCCAAATTATGAAATAAAGTGCATAAATAATAAGATGCTGCTCCATTGGGACATGCAGTGAGTTCACACTCCTTTTTCCAACAGTAACCTCTCTCATGAATTGTCTTTGGAATGTTGCCTAACACATCTGGACCCCAGGCAACAATCTCTCTAATTCCCATAATACCCTCACAATGAACTGGGAGAATTGGGGGGGGGGGCACAATGAATTTGCATGAGTTCCAGGGTCTTTTTCCTGTTCCTTCCTCTGACATCCTCTATGGCCAATCAGAATAAAGCATCTGCTTTTGTCTTCAGCCCATCTGTGCCTTATCTGCTCCTTTGGGAGTTTGGCACTCCAGTCGCCAAACCTGCGGTTTTAGTGGAGCTGGAATCACATAACATTAGGAATAAATAAAGGAAATGATGCAGGAAGGTGATGTGTGTGAGTGAGTGTGTGTGTCCCTACAGATGTCCCAGTCCTCAAACACTCTCTGCTTCATTCAGAAAAAGCTGCACTCGCAGAGCTCAGGCAGTGTTGTATTTCAGTGTCAATGTTGACTTTTGTGGAGAGGTGGCTGCCAAGGTAGCAGAAATGATCAACATTTTCTAATGTTACACCATTAAGCTGTATTTCTGGCATTGGAGAGGGATTGGCTGGAAGAGCACTTTGGTTTTCTCGATGTTCAATGACACGCCGAGCTTCTTGTATGCTTCTGCAAAGGTGTTTAGAGTGGCTTGCAGGTCTTCTTCGTGTGTGTGCGCGCGCGTGTGTGCGCGAGCGCATGTGGAAAAGATGGAATTGGTTAGGTTGTTTGATTTATTTGCATCTCAGATATCTATTCATATTTTCACAGTACACAAGAACTTAAAAATGAACCGCACATGAAAACATAAACTGTTCCCTGTTTTCTAAAACACTGGCTTCCTGATAAAGTCCTGTTACTAGTTTTTAGCTTTTGTGTGGTGTCATGTTCAAAGGTTGTTATTGTGGGATCCTGGCATCTCTACAAGATAATTATTCAAGCAGAGCAACACATGCATCTTGCGTCTAGTGCACATGCACATAAAACACATGTGGAACAATACAAATGTACCATCCAGTGCACAACCACATGTTGGAAATGTTAATTTTGAATTCTGGATGACATATTGTGGGATAATAAGGTTTTCAAAAAGCCAAAAAGAACTAACACCCTGTTAGAGTGCACTCAGCGTAGCATAAGCTATTGCAGAGGAAATAATTACAGTAAGTAGAGCAAAGCCTTCAATAGCACATGGGTGGAAGTAGGGATATTTGGGCAAAGATCTTTGCTATGAGATCCAAGGAGTTACAAGCAAATCTCCATCTGGAGTACTCCAGTATATTAGACAAATGCAGAGGCAACTTTAACCAACTTTAACACCTTTGGGTGTTGGAGCTAAGAGCCTGCCTACATCAGCCCCATACCCTAAGGTTCCTGGGCATCCAAGAATTTCCAGGGACTTCTTGTCCCAGTACGGGTTTAATTGGCCAATCCAAGTGAATGCCACATTAGCAAAAGTTGCAGAACAGCCTGGTAACTTGGGGAGGAGGTGAACAACTAATGCACCTGTACAAACAAAACAGTCTCTATGAAAGACGATAAAACAATACAATTCTGATATAAGAAATGACAATCCCTGAAAACCAGTTGCAGAACATTTCAGATTTCCTGGACATACTGTATTGGATTTTTATGTTACAGTCCTTGAACAAGGAAATTACAAAACAAAGAACAGAAAGAGGAACAACTAAATAGAATTATATTCACTGATTTCAATCCATTAGTAAGGTATAAACAAAGACAATGACTTCATAGAAGACTTTGTATATTAATACAAAGCCATACAATCCAAAATATACACATACAGAAGGAAGAAGGAATAATAGACACAAAACTGTACAATACAATTATCTGGATGTACAATACTGTGCATCCAGATAAAATGGGGGAAACCAACTTCAATATAACACAAAACAAACTGATTAATACATGCAAACAAAATATTCAAGTTTTGTTTGAATACAATACTAAAATTCCAAAAGCTATGGAAAACAAAATGAAAATATTGCAATTGAGATTATAAAACAGTGAGGAAAGGGGCAGTACACAAATGTTCAGGAAGGCCTTTGATAATTCATTATGCGTATGTTGTGAATGCACATTTGTATAGTTGATATGGCTCAATGTCCTAGAAATATACAAGGGACATTTAGCAGACAATCAGTTACAATATGGTTACAATGGGTTTAACCCATTGCACCACTGCAGCTCCTGTTTAAGTAGAAATTAAATACTAATATCAAATGGAAATGCACGGAACTAACATTAACACACAAAAAATGCATATATTTGACATACATTTTGTGTGCCAATCTAAAATATGTATGTGCTTTACATATCGATTTGGAAACTGCTCTGAGTCCCCTAGATAGAGCAGTATATAAATAAAGTTGTTGTTGTTGTTGTTACTACTACTACGACTACTATATCTATTATACTCCTGAAAACACACATATAGGAGGGCAAGTGCATAGAAAAGATTCTGCAGCCGTTGCTGCTATAATGATGACACCCCCCAGCCACCCCAGAGAGCTGAGCACCATCCTTCCTCTCTCCTTGTCTTTCCCCATTCCATCCCTCCCATCACGCCATCCACCCATCCAAGTGAGTGAGCAAGTAACATGTGCAAGGATAGGTCCAGACAACTCAATGGTTTTATTTCCTCCCAACAATCAAAGAGTTGAGCTCTGACAAAGCCTGACTTAACTAAACACAGCTCAAGATGGACTCCGATTTTATCAAAGTCCCTATTAAAATGTCACAGGCACGCGGCAAATAAAATAGTCAAAGGTGTACTTTATACATATGTCTATGTAAAAGCTTGAATTCAACAAGGTTAATTTATTGTCTGCACATCTGTGTTCTTTTTTTTCAGCACCAAGAATGTTTGTGTTCCTCTATGTCACAAGCTTTGCCATCTATACGAGTGGGCAAACTCTCTTCAGCCATTTTAAAGGAGAAAATTATTCAACAAAATATGTTTGTAGCATACCTGGATTGCCAGGTCCAGCAGGTTCTCCTGGAAATCAAGGATCACCTGGACCTCATGGGCGCATTGGTATCCCAGGACGAGATGGTAGAGATGGCAGGAAGGGAGAAAAGGGTGAGAAAGGAAATGCAGGTAATGTTCGTTCATTACTGGTAAAAGTATCAGGGGTTTTTGTGTTTCTAACACTTATGCATGGGTCAATGTGATCACTGTATCTTAATTCTTATCAGAAAAAGAACCATTTCCTTCTCTGAGTAGAGTGACAAAAGGCAATAACTTAGTCATGGGAGAACCTAAAAGAAGCAGTGACCTTTCTGCTCTCTCCACCATCGTGCCACCTCTGGCCTTTTTGAATGCTTGGGTAGATAAATGGTGGTAGCCATTGGCTGCTGCAGTCCTGAAGCAGCATTGGGACTTTCCCCTCTCCATGGAATAACCCTTGACTTATCCATGGGCCATGCCAACATCTATCATTTTGACCCCAAATCCTGCTCTTGATTAATGCATGAGGTTGACATGGAATAACCCTTGACTTATCCATGCGTAGTGCGTAGTGGGGATTGTTAACATAATGTTGCTAGTTGCTACATGTGTTGTAGTAATGATGGTAACAATTGTGCTGATAAGACACTTTGCAATAATTACTAATGCCACCTTTGGTAACCTATTGTAGTATGTCCCCAACTCCTCATGTGGGTACTTCAGTTCCACAGAATTTCAAGGTTTTGCACATTTCAGAAGGAAACATTCATTATTCTGAAATAGCTGCTGCTGTTCCCCTCGGTCCCATTAAATGCATTTCCCCACAATCCCCTAGAAATGAGAGATATCCAGAAAAAAAAAACCAAAGTAGCAGTTTGAAAGGATTTCACCATGGCTGTGATTAGGCAAACAGTAGTATGTTGTTGTTGTTGTTGTTATTATTATTTTGTCCCCTTTCTGAAGCAAAACATATCTGCGGCCATTTTATTTTTACTGTGAAATTGGAAGGTTCCTTTCTAAAGTCTTAGATGCTTTTCTATAGCATTTTCATATCTCTGTGACCTCTTGGAAACTCAAATGGCAGAAGAAATGTGACACTAGGTTCAAGTAGGAAGTTTAACTTTTTTTATGAGTGTAAAAATACTTGTTGTTCTGGATACTTAGGAGGGTTGAATTTATTTTAAAAATACAGCATTATTTTTGGATGGGCTCATTTAATTTCAGAGCATTAGTCAGCTGAGTACCCAAGTTATCCATGAAGGGAATAATATTATTTTTGTTCAAGTTTTGGGGTCAGATGTCATCTGTATGCAGATGATGTTCAGCTCTATCACTCCTTCCCACCTGTCTCTAAGGAGGCTGTTCAGGTTCTGAACTGGTGCTTGGTAGCTGTGTCAGACTGGATGAGGGTGAACAAATTGAAACTGAATCCAGACGAGACAAAGGTCCTCCTGCTGAGTCATAAGATCAAACAGGGCACAGGATTACAGCCTGTGCTGGATGGGGTTACGCTCCCACTGAAGACACAGGTTCGCAGCTTGGGGGTGATCCTAGACTCATCGCTGAGCCTGGAACCCCAGGTCTCGGTGGTGGATAGGGGAGCTTTTGCACAATTAAAACTTGTGCATCAGCTGCGCCTGTACCTTGGGAAATTAGACATGGCCATGGTGGTCCACGCTCTTGTTACATCCTGGATAGATTACTGCAATGCACTCTATGTGGGGTTGCCTTTGAAGACTGTCCAATGCTTGGCAGCCAGGTTGCTCACTGCATCAGCATACAGAGAGCATACAACCCCTCTGCAGTGCCAGCTCCACTGGCTGTCAGTCTGCTTCCGAGCACAATTCAAAGTGCTGGTTTTAACCCGTTAAAGCCCTGTACAGTTCTGGTCCAGATTACCTGTCCAAACGTATCTCCCATTACGAACCATCACAAAGTTTAAGATCAGCTGGAGGGGCCCTGCTCTCGGTTCCACCGCTATTGCAAACGAGACTGGTGGGGATGAGAGACAGGGCGTTCTCAGTGGTGGCCCCCCACCTGAGGAAGTCCCTTCCCAGTGATATCAGACTGGCCCCATCCCTCCTATCTTTTAGAAAGAAACTTAAAACCTGATTATGGGACCAAGCGTTTGAGCAATAGAAGCAGCAATTGGGATGCTTTAATGTGATATGAAGGACAATGGACTGACCCAGACACTGATTTTAAACCAGCGTGATTAAAACAAAAATGTTTTTATTAATATAATGTATTTTAAATGAATTGTTTTTAACTGTATTTGATGTTTGTGATTAGCACCAAAACGAGTACTTGTTGTACTTACTTAGGCAATCCCTCGTTGGGCGAGTATGATAGTCTTCCAGGAACAGAATTCTTGTGAGTCTGTAGGTGGCCTATTCTTGATCTGCATCTTCTTTCTCAGTGAGGGCATTGGTTTTGGCAAGGGATGGCATCAGTTGTACTCCAGAAGTTGATAGGTTCCCTAGTCTATTATGTAGAGAGAGAAATCTGGTAGAAATATCTTGTTTGAACAAGAATACGTCAGGATGCCTTCACCAAAAATCTCCATATCACTTAAAACATGGTAGAAATTCTTGCATCCAAAATTTTAGGAAAAAAATAAATCCTCAAACAATTTTGTTAATTTTCAATCAGTGATATGCATAGAAGCTACTCTGAATTTGCACATCAACTCTAGATTACTTAGTTGTTTGTTTGTTTACACATGTTTGGCTTTCAAGCAGAATTTTGTGCCAAGTGTTTAATAAATTTTAATTCAATTTTGCTTAATTTAACTCTGACTTCCTTATTTTTTGTTAGGGACTTCCTTATTTTTTCTTTGCCTTGGTTGAACTATTTAAACCTACATTTAGCTCAGTCATTCAAAAGGAGGATGTTTTTGATAACGAGACCAAATTACATTACATTCCTTTTCAAAACAGTGATAGGTCATGTCTAAAAATGTTAATGGAAACATGGGAGGAATTCTCACTATCTGAGGAATTTGGTCCTTAGAGGGATGAAGGAACAGAGTTTTCCAGCACTTGGTTGCTACTGACTGTTCACCTGATTAATATCATATACTTATTCATAATACTTAATTCATTTCTTTAAGGTTTAAGAGGAAAGACTGGCCCCGTAGGACAACCAGGAATGAAAGGAGACCAAGGAGAACCTGGTAAAAAAGGACCCAATGGATCAGGTGGTTTTAAAGGTGACATAGGTCCTGTTGGCCCAGCAGGCTCAAAAGGGGAGAAAGGAGAAAGAGGAGAAACAGGCTCACCGGGAGTCTGTAAGTGTGGAAAAATAATACTAAAATCTGCCTTCTCTGTTGGGATTACCACAAGTTACCCAGAAGAAAAAATACCAATTGTCTTCAATAAAGTACTCTTCAATGAAGGAAGTCATTACAATCCTTCAAATGGGAAGTTCATATGCGCCATCCCAGGAATATATTACTTCTCATATGATATCACTTTGGCAAATAAACATCTTGCCATTGGCCTTGTCCATAATGGAAAGTTCAGAATAAAAACATTTGATGCCAATACTGGAAACCACGATGTAGCTTCTGGGTCAACAGTGATTTATCTTCAGCCAGAAGATGAAGTATGGCTTGAGATCTTCTACACTGATCAGAATGGCCTCTTTGCTGATCCCAGATGGGCAGACAGTCTGTTTTCAGGATTTCTCTTATATGTTGATACAGACTATCTTGACACCCTGTCAGATGAAGATGAACTGTGATGTTAGAAATGGGCGAGGAGATCTAAATGAACATAAGAAAACGCACAGAATGGGATCTCCATCATTAATACCACAATACAACAAAAGATTATTTTGGAATTTTGATTTTGCGGTCAAGGATCCAAAAGTAGAAGACTCATTGCCTAGGTGGTGTTTTTTCCTGGGTGACTGTTGTTATTTTTATTCTACAGATTGTTCTACTAATTCAGTGTAAATAATTGTCTTCTCAAAATATGTTTATAATAATATTTAAACACATTTGAAATGATATGCATGAAGTTGTTTAACTATGATTTCTATGAATGGCATGGACTTCAAGGTGCAACTCTCATGAAGCAGTCATACTGCCATTACACTAGGGTCCTCATCATACTGATGCCCCACCCCTCTGTTTTGTTCTGTTTCTCCAGCAATCACTGGTGAAAGGAAGGAAGGCACATGTGGCACCTACACACCTTCCCTCCTTCCCCATCACATGGGGGTATTGGGGCATTATGTGTTATTTCCCTGTCCCTTCCCCCACTGGACAGAGGGAACTGGTAACACATGTTGCCAAGTTGCAGTTTCCCCCATCAGATGGGTGGGGGGGGGGGGAGAGGCCTAAAACCTCAGGTAGCTTTATCAGAGCTACCCAAAACTCAATTTACCTATTGTGCTTGGTGAGGAAGCATCTTGCAATGCTTCCTTGCTACTTTTACCATCAATGGGGCAGGGCCATGGCTTGCATCATGTGATGGTGCTTGGCAGGATCCATGGCCAAAGAGGAGTAAGGGGCCAAAAACCCCTTGTTTGCTGAAGTGGCTGATAAATCCCATCTTTGGTCAGGAATTATTGTCCAACATTGTGGTTCTCCTAATATCTTCTCAATGAAACATTTCTGGAAAACCACTTCTCTTTTGGCTGGAAATAATCCATTGATGAACTCTTATCCAATCATTGTTTAGGTATAGTATCTGGTACAAATATGTTATTCCAATGCATGGCAATATTGAGCATTCAGGTGGTGTACAGATGTGATCTGGAATGTTCTCCCTAGAATGGGCAACCTCAGTCTATTTCTGGTACTTGGAAAGGAGGACTCCAGCTGGAGTAATGACTGTGGAGGGTTCAGAAGAAAATAACCGATCTTTCCCTTTCTTTCCTGTCTCTCTCTGCTTCTACAGGGTTTCTTTTAAAAATATTTTAAAGAGGAAAAGTGCAATAGTGATATCAGGGGTCCTACAAGGAATAGTTTCAATTCATGGGGAATCCACATAAAACCTGGAAAAGAGCAGAGCAAGAAAAGCATATTTTGTGTAGATGATATGTAGGTGAGGTTTCTTTCAAAATGTCTTTTCAGACAGAGCTTGAGGACATTTGTGGATAGATTGAAGCTACATGTTCTCTTCCTACCCACCCATCTCATATTACAGATCACTAGAGCATCTCATAGGTGTTTCAAAACCAGCTCTGTAAGGCAATAGAATTAGCTGCCATTCAGTGGATCAAAACATATATGTATGCACAAGGGCTTTGCAAGATAATGGTCATCCTAACATAGCAATTGCTGTAGCTAGTTTTCCCCTCCCTCTTTCTTTATTACTATTTAGCAAATTACCAAACATGCACAAAGCAATATACAATAACTGGGGAGGGGAGAAGCAGAGCTTGGAAAAAGTTACATTTTGAATTATGCTTCCAGGAATCTGGAAACCAACATGACTAGTAGCACAAACCGACAAAAAGAAGAAAAGAACTGGAAGGAATTCTTCCAACAAATTTCATATATAAAATATGTTCATAACAATGTACATTTATCAGTTGTAATGCCATATTTCTGCTAGGTCTTCTGTAGCAGAAGACTTTGAGAGTTCAACACTATATTCTTTGACATAGAAAAATGTTCCATTTTGACATAATAGAAGCTACATAGCAGTCAGTTCACCAAATTAATTATCAAATTTGATCAAAGCTGTACTAGTACTTGATTCATATCATACCATTTTGATGTGCTCAACAATTTACCTGTGTTGTCTAATTACAGTTGTTAAAACATAAGCCTATAAATCAATATTGTTCACCCCTGCATTGCAGATGGAGGAACTGAGCCTCAGAGGGAATGGCACAAGAGAAATCTGAACTGGAGCATCCCCGATTCATTGCCCTATACCATTGGCCAATACATATGTTGGTGTCTCAGTGAACCTCTTTGTCCTCCTTCAGGGTATAGTGCACTGGTATAATTATGTGAAAAGTTTTCCTTTTGTCTTCTTATTCCTTTCGTATTTCTTCCTCTCTCTTGCCATTTGGTTTTTCTACTCTTTCATGAGTCATGTACATGTTCTGTAAATGCTTTAGTTTGTTTCAAAAACTAAGAGCTTAACTCATGGAACTTCAATTATTTTTTTCAGCTATTAACAATGGCAACAAATTACACAGTAAATTACACTGGCCAACACACATTTTGGTGCCCCAAATGTTATATCCATTCCTGGCTATATTTGACCTGCTGATTTAAAAAAAGGCACCAGTTTTCCACTCTAGTTTTTGAGATAAATAACATATGCCATATACCATTTGCATCTTCTCGCCTATAGAAAACCATGATAATCTTATCTAAGAAATTGGAACTGGTCCAATATTCTCAATCAGTGTCCCAAATAACCCCAAGAACAGGCCTAAACACCAAGACACCAAGAATTTTATTTTGGTTAGGCTATGCTATCTTTCAGGAAATGCCCTCTACTTACCAGATTTTTTTTCTTTCCTACAAACTCCACCTAAACAATCCTTGTAATAGGATGCTATTCCAAATACTATCCTTACCCCAGTAGTCTTGCTCACCTTTGCAACAGAAATATATTGGCTGATAAAGAAATGCTCAAAACCTTTCCTCTGCATGTTTTTTTCCACAGCATTCCAGTATGTTTATTTATTTACCATATTTATACCCTGTCCTTCTCACCCTGAAGGGGTCTCAGGGTGACCATGTCTTCACTTTTTTCTGAAGGCCAAGAGGGAGGGTGTTTACTGGATTTCACTAGGGAGGGAATTCTATAGCCAAGGGGCCACCACTGAGAAAGCCCTGTCTCTTGTCCCCACCAACTGCACCTGCAAAAGAGGCAGGACCGAGAGCAGGGCCTCTGCAGAAGATCTTGACCTCCGAGGTGGTTTATAGGGGGAGATATGATCGGACAGGTAAGCTGGGCTGAAATTGTTTTGGGCTTTATAGGCTAAAGCCAGCACTTCGAAGTATTCTCAGTAGCAGACTGGTAGCCAGTGGAGCTGACAGGGGGGTCGTATGCTCCCTGTACGCTGCTCTGGTAAGAAATCTGGCTGCCGTCTGTTGGACCACTTGAAGCTTCCAAACAGTCTTCAAAGGCAACACCATGGAGAGCATGTTGCAGTAGTCTATTAAAGATGTAAAAAGAGTGTGGACCACCATGGCCAAGTCCGATTTCCCAAGGTCCATGCGCAATATATGGTTCTTCTGAGCTTATTGACTGAATGTATGGATCTGCCTTGCTTTGACTGTTAACTACACAGGTAAAAAAAAAGGTCTGCTTAAACTCTTATAATCCTAGCCCATAGTGACTGCATCAATGCCATACATGTTAAATCAAAGCGAGAACAGCATTATTAGTGACACGTTTCCCCTATGTGAGCTCACATAGTTGTTCAAGGATAGCCCTGCAATGATTACATGTGCTATACTTCGCATTATTTCCAGCCACACAGCAATAACCACTCCAGGGTTTTCCCTCCTCATGCATACAAATATACAAACATTGGTGTGTCTGCATTTTATACATCCACCTCAACAGGAAATTGATGATACTAAAAAGTAAAGTAAAGCAACTGGTATTTAAATGTTGATAGAGGAAGTTTAATACTGATATGCAGTTATCCACACAAACACACCTTCAAAAATCACAATGATTATCTGCATAAATGCACCTTCAAATATAAAGATGATTGCACACCATCAAAACAGAAACAAGGAGCATTTCATGCTGAGAAGCATCAGGTGATCACCTATTACCCATTGCACTCCAAACCCAGTTGAACATCGAAGCTGACTCAGGACACATAAAATAACCCAGGTCTTCCAGAAAAGTGCAGAGCAAAATGTCAATATTTCCTATTTGAATTTAAGCCTTCAGGGATGAAAAACAAATTTGATTTGAAACTTCAAGAAATCCATGTGTTATGCCAGCCCCAGACACAAAAGAAAAGTATACAATACTTATGCAAAATAAACAGGCCGGCAGAATGTTGGATAAGTGAAAATGCTGGATAATAAGGAAGGATTAAGGAAAAGTCTTTTTTTTTCATATTATGTTTATTTCGTTTTCAGGTTTACAATAAAAAACAACAGGAAGGGTGTGAGGGAGGGTACATAGACAATAGGGTTGGGGGGGGAGGTAGGGAGGGAGGGGGATTTGGTGTGTTGAGTCGAGGGGGGACCAAAATCTGGGGAAGGTAGGGATAGGGGGGTTTACTTCCAGGTAAGACCAGGTTGACACTTTCCTAAATCCGCAGTTATACAATTCATCCTTGTTTGATGCCCTTCGGGTTTYTMTWTTTWTTTWTTTYTTTYTTTTTTTGTTWCTAGTTGGTAGCTAACTAGTGTTTCTTTCAATTYTTATTATTATTAACCCCTTGTATAATCGCAAGATTGTTGAGCTGCTAGCTTTACTATTTTTGTGATAAGCAAATAGATGTATRGAGACCTATTTTTTTGTTGGTAATTCCCTTGGGTTTACATGTCTATAATATGTAATCCGTCGTTAAGTTTTCTTATAAAGTCTAGGACGGCTTTCCAATCCGTCTTTTTGGGTTTTTTGTAACTAGTGGAGATTTTTTGGGTCAGGATATCCATATTAATTATGTCCATTGTCTTCGTTATCCACTGATCTACTGTTGGAATATCTTTCGCTTTCCATAATTTGGCTAATGTCATCCTTGCGGCAGTGATTAAATAGAAAAAAAAATTGTCTTTGTTTTTTTTCCATTTTTATGTCATGTATTCCTAGGAGTAGAGTCTCTGGAGTCGGGTTAAATTTTATGTCTAATATATCTTCTATACTCTCGTGGATTTGCAGCCAGTAGTTTTTAATCTTTCTGCAGCCCCACCACATATGTATGAGGCTGCCTTTTTCTTTTTCGCATTTCCAGCAGAGATCCCTAGTTTTTCCTTTACTGATCTTCTTC